TGAGAATAAAAAAATTTTTGAAAGTTATTTAATAAAAACTTTTATTATTTAAAAGAAACTTTTCACCTTTCTTTTCGCCAGAGATTGTATATAATAGTAAAATAAATAGAAATTTTATCGAAGATATTTTAAATAATAAAAAGATAGATTAAAGGTTAAGAGAATATATTATTAACTATAATAGGCGTATTAATTTCAAAAAAAATCATTTATTATATAAAATTTGAAATTATTGTTATTTGTAATATCATATTACTAACTATAATATCATACTCCTATACTATAATACTATTTGTAACATTGTGTTACAGCTCTAAATGTTTTATGCCATCTAATTTTATTTACGCCTAATTGATCAAATTCCACATCTGTAAGATCATAAATTTGATCTACAGTAATTTTGCTCATTTTCAAAAATATTTTTGAATCTTGCAAATACTTCGGTACTACCTGACGATTTATTTAATTTAGTAAAAAATTCATCAAGAGATGAAAGTAGAATTGGCCATTTTGAAACTAATGATGAATCTAAAGAATTATTCATGTTTAAATTTTATGCAAATGAAGCCATTTGAGGTGGCATAGCAAAAAAAAAGCATTAAATTTGCTGGAGTTGAGAGTGTTGTAAACTTTTCTTTGATACTATTGGATTGCGAAAAAATTGGTAGTTTAGCATTTGAATATTATCAATAGTACCTTGAATCTAAAAATAAAAAACCTATAGTTAATAATTGTTTTGATAATTCTATAATTTTAAATAGTAAAATAATTACAATTTTCTTAGCCCAGCATTAGAGATGCATTACAGTAAGCTTTGTATATTGTCTATCATTAATAAAGCATGTATCATGTTGATTACATTTGTATTGCTCTCTTAGTTTATGAATTACATGTCCTTCTTGTTGTAATATTTCTGAAAAATCATCCAATTTCACAGTACTTTTCTTTTTATTCTTTTTACACAAATTAGTATCTTCATAATCTGATTTTTCAGAATTTAAAATATTCTAAAAAAAAAAATACTATAATTTAAATATTGCTTTATAATAATTTACAATAATTAGCAAATATTTTACCTTTCTTTTTTCTTTTTTCTTTAAAGATGCCATAATTATCATATTTTTCTTTCTATCTGATAATTTCTTATAATCTAAAAGAAACTTCTTATAGTCTTGCATATCTACCAACTGTATTCTAGATCCTGCAACTTTTTCTGATTTAAATGTAACCAAATAATCTGAATGCATGATTCTTTTATTACTGGTTAGTTTTTCAACATAATGATAAATATCATATTATCTAACGATGATACTTCTATTTCTATCCATTTAGATGGTAATACAGGACTACCAGAAGGTTTTACTACTAAATTGAATGAAATTATTTATTCAGTTTCTGATTCAATTACCATAAATTCGTTAGTTAATTCATCACTTTTTAAATCATAATCATTTGTGTTAAAATAGTTTTGAAATACTTTTTTTAAGTTTAAGATAGAAGAATTTGAAGAAGAATTTGAAACAGAAGTATTTGAAATAAAAGTATTTGAGGTAGAAGAATTTGGAATAGAAATGTTTGAAGCAGAAGAATTTGGAGTAGTATTAGGTAAGTTATGAGTTTTTTTCCTTTGAAAAGCACTATTACAAATAATACAAAAATTTAAATTAAATTTCGTGTTAATATCTAATAAATAACCAAAATGAGTAATACTTTGTTGAATATATTCAAATTGTTTTTGTGATAAGTTAGGTATTAAAACTCAAGGATATGCAACTTTAACTTTATCAGTTCAGTTGCTTTTACTTAGTTTGATAATTTTGTTACATGAACATGTTCTTTTTCGAATACTAAGTTCAGCCTTACAGTAAAGACATTTTTTGCAATTAAGACAAGTACCGATAAAGTACTCTATTATATAAAAGATGCATTTTAAAATAATAAAATACGAATTTTAATAAAAATTTTTAATACTTAATATTTATATAATAGTAGCATTTTATTGATACATTTTTAAGGAGTTAAACGAATATACATACATTGGAATACATTATTTGAAAAAATGAGATGGTTGAAATTGATTATATTTGATTAGTTAATTGTTAATATGATCATGTGATAATCTGATATTTGGTTTTCTTAATGGGAAATCGAATTTTTATTCATACATGCATTGTGTACACCATTTTAAAAATGGCAATAATACAGCTCATACATTTTCAATAGGATTTAAGTCTGGGCCGTATAAAGGCTAAGAATCGTCCTAGAAGATGTTTTTTCAATTCCTCCTGAATATCATGTGAGATGTGTTTTAGGTTATTATCTTATTAGAAGACTCAGCTGTATCTGTATAATATATCCATATTATTATACAGATAGTCATTTAAGATTTTTGATATAAATGACAATCCAAATTTTCAGTAAACAAATAAATGCTAATTTTTTCTTTAGCACTAATCGCTATCCAAATATGAATCTTAAATGGATACTTTATCATAGAAGCAATTGGTTATGTATTATAAGACTATGCAAATATAGTATTTCTAAATATCTGAAGTATTGTTTCATTAAAAAAAATAACTTTTTTCCAGTTATATTACAAATGATCATGTGTTCAAGTCAAATAAAAATCCTTCACTTTTTAGGTTAAGAGAGGAACCTTTCTTGAAAAAATAGAAACATATCTAAGATTATTAAGCTCACAATGTATCGTACGTCCACTGATATCAAAGTTGAGATCTTTTTCTTTCAATTTGCCTGCTATAGTAAAATGATTATGTTGCAGAATTTTTTCAATATGGCAGCTTTAATTTGAAGCCAATTTTCTTAGATAGTCAGAAGAGTGACCAATAGAAATTTTACAGTTTTATTTAATAAACTGATATATCGTTCACATATGTGCAAAGAAATGCACAATCAATTAGAAATTTCTTTTGCATTACGTACTTTTTGGTCTCAAAGTGACTTAACAGAATTTTTTTGTATTTTTAAAGAGCTTGACATAGTTTTAGAAAGGAAATCAAAATAAAACAAATAATAAACCTTATTTTTTAACTTACCTTTTTAATTCAGGTTCTAATGTCTGATTTGGACATATAAATAAATGCCTAAATTCAAAAAGTGGTGAAACTGCAACTTAAAATAGATGCGATCTTCTACTATCATTTTTTTCATCAGGAACTATAGTTATTAGTAAAATGATCAAATATATTACAGTTTAATTTAATAGTTTAAGTAATATACTTTACTCAAATTTTAAATAAATATGTAATTTTTGTCATACAGTATAAATTTTTTTTTGAAAATGTCATATATTTAAGCCAAATTTTAATGTACACTTTACTTATTTTTCAGATATTATCATTATATAAAATTTTTTATAATTAGAAATCCTATTCAGATTAGCATTTTTAAGATTAATAATCTGAACTGAACTAAACTAAAATTTTCAGCTCAAATTCAAATTAGCTTCTAATTCAAACTAAATTAAACCATTTGGAGCTTTAGAAGTATTATATTATTTTAAAAAACTTTAAATATAATTAATTTAATATCAATTTATTAAATTATATATATTTAAATAATTAAAATGCAAAAATAAATATTTTATTTATTTTTAATATTTTTAAGTTTTTAATAATTTAATATTAAATAATAATAAAATTACTAGTTATAATAAATATAATTTAATATAAATATCTATCTAATTAATAATATTTAAAATATTTGTATAAAAAAATCATTGAATTGAAATATTATACTAATTTCTACAAAAATAAAAAATGTTTTTTAAGAAAAATAGAATAAGATTATGCAAAATATTTATATAAGTTTTCTTTTTAAAAATTAATATAATATCACATGATTTATTCCTATTGTAAAATAATAGGTAATAAATTAGTTTATAATTAAAAAAAAAAAACTCAACAAAAATCTTATAGATTAATATTAAACTTAAATTTATTCTATTAATAAATTTATTTAAAATAAAAAATTATTATTTTTTATTTCTTAATACTTATATTTTTTATTTATTAAAAATAATATATTATAATACACTAGTTAAAATCAAAAAAATTAGACATGTCTAAATTCAGCTTAAATTTGGCAAATTATCAAAAATCAGCCTAGCTGATTAGCATATATTAAAATTTAACCAAAATTCAACCTATCTTATTTATAGCTGATTGGCATACTTATCCCTTAGATTTTCAGATAGGCAAATTTGCCTGTGAACTTTAATT